CAAGTGTCATCCGATATGGTACTTTGGATAGTGGTGTAGTGCCCGATAGTAAGTCAATGGGAAACTCCACTTCTCTAGCTGGGGGTAATCCTGGAATCTCTTCAGGGAACACATCAGGAAATTCTCTCACCACAGCAATTTGTTCAAGAGTCTCTTCCTTGGCATTCAAATCTTGGAGGGTACACAAGTAGACTTCATGTCATTTCTTCACATATTTCCTCATCTTAGTCATGGACACAATTCTCATTCATAGTGGTTCCACATCTCCCTTATAAGACACGTACTTCCCTTTCGGTTCCCTCATCACCACCTTCCGCTCTTCACATAGGATTTTCGCCTTATGCTTGCCTAACCAATCCATCCCCAATATCACGTCCATGCCTTCTAATTCAATCTTGATGAAGTCTCCGTGAAAGACCACTCCAGATATTTCTACGGGTAAGTCTTCTAGGATGTCTTCGCAACTTATCATCTTCCCTGACGCTAGCCTGATACTCATCTTCCTCTTACGAGACGGTTCCCATCCCAAATTGTCCACCAAAGAAGATGATATGAATGAGTTTGTGGCCCCATAGTCAAACAATACTACAGCGGTATATTGTTTACTAGAAACGTCACGATCACTAACTCCACAGGCCTAGCTAGCTCAAGTCGGATGGTGAGTATTCCTCCTTGTTCTCCATCTTCTTCCTCGATTGCTCGGTGAGTCAACTTGCCGCGCCAACTCTTTGCGATATCTTTTCTCCGACCCGACTGGTTCTTCCTCTTCTTAATCCCCCCTTGGATTGCCAAAGCCGAGGAACTAGATGGAGCGCACTTGGTCCTCCCGGAGGTAGGTAGCTCATTCTTACTAAGCCACCTTGGCGGCATTTCACCACCCTTCCAATGCAAAGAAAAGACCATCTCAGTTAGAACCTCTAAGATCTCACTACTTCTAACTTTCCTTTTTTCAAAAGCAAAGATCACAACAAGTAAAGCACACAAACAGGATACAAGTATAACTCTTATACTTATCACATTAACAACTTTCACATAACTTTCAATTTTAACTTTCAACTTTTAACGCTCAACTTCTAACTTTCAACTTTCAGGATAAAAGCAAACAACACTTTAAACACATTAGATAAGCACATAAACAAGTTAAGCAAGCGTAAGAAACTCACAATCTCACCGCGTTCCTTACTGATATCCTTAAAAGAACTTATTAACTTTGGAAATCTCACACTTAAACACTTAACTTAAAATCTTTCTCATCCTAGATCTTACCACTTAGAGTTCATTTCCTTAACTTGACCATCCTAGTACTTCAACTTAGGGCTCCTATATTCAATCTTAAGGTTCGGATTTCCTATGTCCCGGCGGTTTGTACCGCTCTGATACCAACTTGTAACACCCCATTTTTCTAAAATCTAAATCCTGAAAAACAAGCTTAAAAAGATAAATAAGCAAGACTTGAATAACTAAATAACCATCCAAACGATCAACTAAAGGGTGTCACCGCCACAGTCACCACTCACGGTGACTGCATAGGTTACAAAAACATCTAACAAAGTAGATTTAAAAGCTCTACAAAACAATAATTAAAGGGAACACAGCCCTGGTGTCTACGCACCATCAAAAGATAGTTCACTACAGCTGTCAACAGTACAACTAAGGGTAGAAAACTAAGCTAGTGACTACCACATCAAATCTACGCACTAAACTAACATGTGCGCTCTCAAGAAAAGGGTCCACCTGAAAGGGGTTATAAAACAAGTAGGAAAATAAACCCCGTTAGGATATTAATGCTAAGTATAAAACCACTCAACCCTGTAAAGTACTATAGATATAGGTTGGAAAACATTTCTCATTCACACGAAGTCTCAAGTATGAATATACACAGTTACAACACTTAGTCAACAAGTCTAAATAGATATACATAAACACTTATATATGCTTGCAACCTATACTCCATATAAACATGCGTTAACTCAATAATTCATACTTTAACACATTCACATGCTATAAACAGATATCTTCAACTATAGTCCAACATGCACTTCTCATACTCATACTAATAGATAAGGAGATAACAGAAACTCAACAAGTAAGATCATGCTATCATGCGAACTCTTAAAAAACAATAAGACTGTACTTCTCAAATGCTTTAAATGCATCATATTCTAAGTCATGAAACAAGTAAAGGTATGATGCTATAAATATAGATATACTTTCGTTCTTTATATAAAATGGAACATTTTCTGTGGAGGATCTCTGTTAAGTCTCTTTGACTCACTTTTCTCTTCTTTCTTCTTTCTTACTTTCTTTCTGAACTCGTGGGCGAGGTAGGAGCTTCACGAATCGTGAATGGACCTATCCGGGCTCAGCATCTAGCCGGCCTAATACTCATCTTGCACACAGAACCGTTACTCATGGTTCTTATAAAATCTCTGTGAAATCAGGTATCGTACTTGTCAGTGTGCACACCCCCTAACTAGGATTCCAAGCTTGACGGGTAGTATCCAACCTAGCAACTCGGAAATATCGACCAAGTTACTTCATAAATATATGTCGATCCTCTATGACCATTTCTTTCTTTTCTCAAACTTCTTTCTTTCTCTTTTCTTCCGAAAGGACCTAATCCTAACAGGGCCTCCAAAACAAAGTTTTCCTCACAATATAGATAGCATATATATATATATATATATATATATATATATATATATATATATATATATATATATATATATATATATATATATATATATCATGCAATTTCTCTTCTCATGCAATTAATCTCAATAATATGCAAGCTTTGCAATGCACATAAATCTCAAATAATATCTCTTTCTCACATTTTGGAAATCAACTTATCATGCAAACTTCTCAATGTAAAAGATATAGATTTTTCAAAATAGATATAGGTTTTCAAATATGACTTAGGCTTTACTTAGAGCCTTCAATGCACTTAATCTTAGAATATGCTAAAAAAAAAAATGTTCATTCACGGCAAAGTGGAAATTACACTATTTCATGCCAATAAATTCAATAGCTTAGCAAATCTTCTCAACAAGAGATAACAAAGTATTAAACATGCTACTCAAACATTCATATACTCAAAGCTAAAATTTCCTTCACAGACTCAAGTTCACAGCCAAACAACACAGTGCATTCAACTTTCATTTTTCTTCTCAGTTAACATGCTTTTAGTCTCAAAATTAAACGAAACAACTCATACTAGTGTGTCGTAACGGGACCGAGTGTCCGAACCTCAAGGGCCCATGAGTCCCGGTCCGAACAACACATGGCTGAGCCACAGAGGGCCCGGCCTTCTCAAAATTGGCCTGGCGGAGCTTGGTGACAGAGCTTGAGAAACCCCGCCACTTGGCTCCAGCAAGCGGCGGCCTTGGGTGACGGATCCAGCTAGGATCCGTCCCTATGGACCGTAACTCCACGGTGCTAGCTGGCGGACCTTCCCTAGGTCTGTTGGCTAGGACTGTGAGGCAGTCTGGTGCACCCGATAGTGTGCACCAGAGGTTTCTTCTCCACAAAATCAAATATAGAGCCACAAAATATACTTTCAGACCTCAATAAATCAATCATAAAACATCAACAACACACAAACAACTCATCAACAAGTATTTTCTAACATTTCTAAACATCTAAACTCGAGCTTCTAGCATTCAACAGAGCAAAAACATAGTTTTGGGAATCCATGGTTTATACCTTGTGCTTTGTCTTCTCTTGTGTGGATCCCCTTTCTCTCTTTCTCAGATGTTACCACCTTCACCACCTATTTTCCTCAAACAACACAAATACACACAAACTTAAGGAAGAACTCAGAGATTGGAAGGCAAGGTGAATGGTCTAAGAGATGAGATGAAAATAATGGAGGAGATGCAAGCAAAATAACTTACTGTAATCTTCTTCTTCCTTCTACTGATTCTAGAGATTTGAGTGGAGAGGCAAAAGAGGGGATCAAGAGAAATGAATGGAATACTGATGCTTATATAGGGGCCCAAAACCCTAAGTAGATATCATTGGCTGATGAGGGTAGAAGAGTAATTTAGCTTGTTCAAAAATCAGGCATTCACTTTGGCTTGTAGAAATCAGCAGGTTTTATTCTTTAACATAGGCTAAGGCCTTAAAATAATTTTGCACAACTTTGGGGTCAAAAATAGATTTTCTATGAGATAGTTTTTAATTAAAACATTTGGTTCAAGTTTCACTCAGATTGACTTTTTGGGTCAAAACTTGGTACGAAAATATACCTGAAACTTAGGATTTTTAAGATAGGCTAATTCTTGGTTTTGAATTGATTTAAAAGCTCGATTTAAAGTATTTAATTCATACACCGTTTTTAGAAAAAAAAATTGGAAGAGTGAAAATAAATATTTTGAAATTTTATGAAATAGAATTTAAGAAAAATATTTTTGGGTTATCATGTTCTACCCTCCTTAAAAGAAATCTCGTCCTCTAAGCTAAGGTTAAACAAACAGATTTTCTTAAAACAAGAGTTTTCTAGAAAGGGTAACTCGAAGTAATGCAAGATTTGCAAGAATAAGCTTAGGAATTTTCTTAGAATATTTGGAAGAACAGGAACTTTGAGTAGGCATGCAAGCACTCAAAAATCTAAAGCACTTAAAAACGTAATCCAACTACTAGATAGATTCTACTAACTATTCAAGAGACTTAACGGTTACCTTGATTAAAAAGAGTCGGGTAACGTTTCCGCATATCCTCCTCGGTTTCCCAAGTGGCTTCCTCCAACAACTAATTAGACCACAAAACCTTTACTAACTTCACCTTTTTCCTTTGAGTGTCTCGTGTCTTATGATCAAGTATTCGCATCGGTCTCTCTTCGTAGGTCAAAGATTCGTCCATCGCCAATTCGTAGGGAGAGACGTGAGATTGAGAGGGGGAAAGATGATGAATAACTTTGATATTATTTCTTACCTTTGATCAATACATATACAAATATACATACACTAACTATTAACTCTCTAATTATTAGTTAATCGTATCAGATTCCTAGTCCAAAATGTTACATAGATTACATTTTTCACAATCAATGGCGATCATTTTACCAGTTCAACATGGTGATTAGATGAACACACATCACTATGTCTTCTTTGCAGCTCCTCTAGTCACTTAATTGCTGCTACATACCTAATAAAAAAAAAAGGGTATTGGCCAAACTAAAATAAGAAACTAGGAACAATGAAAATCAATGGAGCAGTATTAGAAACTTCATTGATAAATATGTAGGGGGATATGAAAGCTTAGTTTCACCATACTTTATAAACATAATAATACTGATAAACCAACATACTCTATTGTAAAAGATACAAAGATTTTATAGTTTAAAACCACTTGAAAGCAAGTAAATTCACAGTAAGCAATTATAAACAAGGCATAGCCTATACCTGTCAAATCTGATAGTACCCACACTTGAGTTGGAATATCATAAAGCTTCTTTGCTAGGCTCAATGAGGATCTCAAGGTCTCCCTAGTTTGTCCAGTACCATGAAGTTCAAGAGCTATATTCCTTAAGACACTAAAATATTGTGAAACAAGTTGAAGATTCCCTAGCCAGAGATGCTAGTCAAACTCTGTGACAAGGTTAAAGCAAAGTGAGAAAGAAAAAGGACTGGGGGAGGCTGTCTGTAATTAACAACAGTTCAAATTAAATTTAGACAATAGATTTTTCCATTAATATATATACCTCGCTTCTTGTAGATTTTGCTGCCTCAGAAAATTGGAGAATTATTGTCACTCGGGTAAGTTGCCAAAACGCAAGAAATTGCTGCAGTCCTCATTACTCAAAGTCTGCTTACTCCTTGTTTCATTACGGCCTCATTCTTCTGAGTGAGCTTTATGAGCAATTTCTGTCCAGCTAATACCAGGAATTCTGGAGTTCATTTTTTCTTTCATTAGCTCACGAACCACTGTTGCATCGGACCATTTCCTATCTGAGGCATAAGATTTTGACAAGAGAATATAGTTTACAGCATTGTTTGGCTCCATGAAGCACAATTTTTTTGCTGCCCATTGAGATAGTTCAATGTTTCCATGGATTTCAGAAGCACCAATAAAGGCCTTCAGAGCATGTGGTTGAGATTCAAGTGGTATTGAGTTCAAAACAAAATTAGCATCATTCAAAAGGCCCACTCGTCCAAGAAGATCAATAAGGCAAGTATAATGTTCTGATGTTAGTAAAATATTGTAGTCAGTAATTGAAGTGAAGTATTTCAACCCTTCACTCAGCAGTCCACCGTGGCTACAGGCAGAAAGAACCTCAAGGAGTGCAATTTTATCTGGCTTCAAGCCATAGGATAACATCTTTTCAAAAAGTTTTATAGCTTCGTCTGCAAAACCATGAAATGCATAAGCCCCAATCATTGAAGTCCAAGAAATAAGATCGGGAATTCCAATTGAGTTGAAACATTTTAAAGCAGAAGCGATGCAGCCACACTTGGAATATGCATTTATCAGAGAGTTGGCAATCGATAAAGAACTTGAAAACGCACATTTTATTGCATTAGCATGAACTTGAACAACTTCACTTGCCATGGATAGGTTGCCGCATGAACTTAGTACGCTGGCCAAAGTCAGTTCATCAGGCCGAAAATCTTCTCTAAGCATTTCCTTAAGAAGTTTGATAGCCTCCTTTCCATCTCCATCTCGTCCATACCCCAAAATCATTGTGGTCCAAGAAACCACATTTCTGGAGGCCATCCCACCAAAAGCCTTGCGGGCGTCAACTGTATTTTCATTCTTCACATACATGTCAATGATGGCACTTCCAACCACAACATCCTTATCAAAGCAAAGCTTAAACACAAGTCCATGAATCTGCCGGCCCAATTCATGGTACACCAATTTAGCACAGCAATTTAGTAGACTAGCAAATGTAAACAAGTCGGCCTTGAACCCATTCGATAACATCAAGGCATATATCTGAAAAGCTTCTTCTCCCAAACCATTTGACACATAGCAAGAAACCATGACATTCCACAAAACCAAATCTCTCATCTTAGCACCCTCAAAAACACGCTTTGCATCCCCAACCAATTCAAATTTCCCATAAAAATCAATAAGAGCACTATTAACAAAGCAATCTTTACAAAAACCCAACTTCACAACTAGACAGTGCAACCCCCTCCCCGCCTCAAAACCACCAGTTACCTCACCGCATATACGAAACAGCGCAGAATAGGTAATGCGATCAGGAGGCACCGATTCCATCATCATTCTCTTGAAATAGCGAAACCCAAAATCGAAATTTAACATAACGCTCCTAGTACAGTCGGCTAAGCCACAAATCAAGGTGTTCCAAGTCACAACATTTCTCACCCACATTTCATCGAACACCTTACAGGCATTAAAAAACTCATTGCATTTAACGTAGACGTGTAAGAGTTGATTGGCGAGTGAGAGCACATTGGCAAAGCCAAGCTTGACGATATGTGCATGGAAATTGTTGGCTTCATTGAAAAGCCGGTGTTTTGCTGAGGTTTTGAGGGCAGCAGAAATGAAGGGGAGAGTGGTCGATTGTTGATTATGAACAGCGGGTGTTAGAAGTGACAACTGTCTTTTCACATTGATTGCTAAACATTTGTTACGTATACAATGCATGGATGGGTGAGTTCGGGCTGCTACTACTACGCCATCAACGTATTGTTCGCGGTTATATGTCTCATGTAAAAAATTGAGCAAGTCTTGACTCTTGATCTTGTCAAAATCAACTGAATGAATACAAATTAAAAAATGGAATAAGGGTCAAATAGGCCATCGAACTGCACACAATACAACAATTAGGCCACTGAACCTAAAAAACCAACAATTAGGTCCCTAAACTAATCAATTTCAAACAATTCTTTCCATTGGAAGGTTTCCAACAGGTCATCTCCCAAATTAATTATTTTTTAAAAAAAATTAAAAATTAATTATTTTTAAATTTTTTTTTAAAAAAAAAAAAAAAACTGGAATCCTGCCGGAGACGGTCGTCTCCGGCAGGAACTAGTTTTTTTTTTTTTTTTTTTTTTTTTTTTTTAAATAATTAATTTTTAAAATTTAAAATTTAAAAAATAATTAATTTGAAAGGATGACCTGTTGACCTGTTGGAAACCTTCAAATTGGAAGAATTGTTTGAATTTGATTAGTTCAGGGACCTAATTGTTGGTTTTTAAAGTTCAGTGGCCTAATTGTTTTATTGTGTGCAGTTCGATGGCCTATTTGACCCTTATTCCTTAAAAAATATAGTGACATTATGGTAATTTTATATAAGTTTAAAGCTTACTGCGTAATTTTAAAATTTAAAATGCGTAAATTCAAAGTTTAAAATGCGTAAATTTAAAGCTTAAGATACATAAGTTATAGCATTAGGTGTCTAAGTTTAAAACGTAAGGTGCTTAATTTTAAAGCGTAAAGTGCGTAAGTTTATAACTCAAGGTGCATCAGTTTATAGTTTATGGAGCGTCAGTTTGACACTTAAGGTACATCAGTTAACACTTAAGTTACATTAATTTAACACTTAAGGTGAGTCAATTCTACACTTAAGTGTAGAGCACTTAAGTGCGTCAGTTCTACACTTAAGGTGTATAAGTTCTACACTTAAGTGCATCAGTTTGACACTTAAGCCTTAAGAACCATATGTTTAAAGCTTAAGGTGCATCAATTTGATACTTAAGGTGCATCTGTTAACACTTAAGATGCATCAATACGACACTTAAGGTGCATAAGTATAAATCTTAAAGTGCATCAGTTCAACAATGGTAGGAGGAGATCATTCACATCCAGTTCACATGAAGCGCGTTTTTTTTACTTGATTTGAGCCGTTGATCTAGATCAGATCAACAGCTCATATATCACCCCATATATAGTAGAGTTCAGGTGCGGCCCCGCCTTAACGTGCGGTCAGTGCGACCGAACCAATAGTTATGCAAATATACACCAACAATGTTAGGAAATGTATAACACAAATATGTACCATTAGGTACGCATCACCAATAAACCCACAACATGAGTTAAGTTCTAGGGCTTGAAATTTGCACACGCTATATCACCCTTACGTAGAAAATTACAAAAAAAAACATATAAAAAATAACAACAAGCACAATACTATAATTACTATGCACTTACTGTTAGTATTATTATTATTTACATTATTGTTATATCTTATAGTTTGTATTAGTTGAATAAGTCTCCTGTGACTTACCTTCTAGATAGGAGTTATTTCAGCTTCTCACTTCTTTTAGTATTGTAATCGCTTATCTGTTTGAGTTGAATTGAAAACGTTACTCTAATCTGGTATCAGTTAAGCCATCAATCCAAAATCTCCTCTTTTTACTCTCTCCCTCCTATTTTAATTATAACGAAAATTAAATATCATAATACAATTACTCTTTCACCATTCTCTTTTAAAACTATCCTTAATTAAATGTTAGTTACATTGACTTTTAATCCTATCCACCCATTCTAACTTTTTTTAATGGTTGAAATGATATCTCATGATCTCATCTTATTAGAGTACAAAAGCTATTCCCAAATACTTGGGAATAGCTAATACCAGGAGGTCCCCTAGGAATGGCTATTTCCCCTGCAAAGGGAATAGCTCATTTCCGGAAATACTATTCTCAGTCATGAAAAGACAAACCAAACAATGGAATATGTCTATTCCTGGAAATGGTATTCCATTCCCGACCTATTCCATGAACTAAACACGCGGTAAGTGAAAATTAAGTTAATCCATTATATAATTAAGGAATAAGGTTCAAATTAGTCACTGAATGTAACCTGAAAATGCAATTAAGCCACTGAACGAAAAAAAAAAAAAAAAAAAGTGCAATTAGGCCACTGAACACTCAAAAAACGTGCAATTAGGCCAATGAACACTCCAAATGTATGTAATTTCACCGGATAGCAGGTTACCTGCTTGCGTGGCAACTGAGTTGGTATTTTTAATAATTTTAAAATAATTTTTAATAATAAATTTTAAAAAATTGAAAAAAGATTAAATTAAAAAAAAAAAAAAAAAAAAAAAAACGACGAGGTGGCCGCCGGCCACCCCCTTGCCCCTTCAATCGTCTCCGCCGGAGACAAAGGAAAGGGGGGGGCGGGGGGGGGGGGCACCCCGTCCTTTTTTATAATTTTTTTTAAAAAAAATTAGTATTAAAATTTATTAAAAATTATTTAAAATGCCAACTCAGCTGCCATGTAAGCAGGTAACCTGCTATCAGGTGAAATTGCATACATTTGGACTTTGGAGTGTTCAGTGGCTTAATTGCACTTTTTTTTTCATTCAGTGGCCTAATTGCATTTTCAGGTTACGTTCAGTAACCAATTTGAACCTTATTCCTATAATTAAAATACTGAATTTACAAATTATTAATCTCTAGACATTAAAAAAGTTTTTTTTTCCTTTTTTAATTAAAGAAATGAAAAAACAAACATGTAAATAAATCTCATTCGAGACTCATCAATGAGACACAAAAAATCAATAACGCCTCCACTAAAGCTCGAACTCGTAACCTTCTAAATGGAAATCCAACCCGGGTACCATTAGACCAAATTCATCAATTCATCAATTCATCTTTAAATATTCACATATTTAATAATATTAGAAATGAATTGATCAACATAATAATAAATTAATAATACATAGATTAAAATGAGCATTTTATATTACCATCAAGGTAAGATTAGTTGCATACTTAAATCGTCAAATATTTTTAAAAAGATTCATATTAAATATATTCCCAAATGCTCTGTCGGGCCGGAGTGTGAGGGCCCTTAGGGTTGGGGTTCAACCTTTTGGAAGAATATTCAATATATTCATTTTACCGTTTGGTGCGTGTCCAGTGCCGTGGGAGAGCCCCTGGGTGCCCTACCGACGGGGAAATTGTGCCCCTTGTTTTGCTAGCCATGCAGCCGGGTGGTGTAAGGCACGGCCAAAGGTTCGTCTAAGGGTAGGGGGTGGCATGGCCGGCGTGGGGTACCGCGTGCCCATCGTGGGTGTCGCGTGCCGTCGTCACCCCGAGGCGTCCCGTCCCTCCCCTTTGACAAGGACGGAGCCAGGATGGGAGGGTGTGGGGGCCAACGACGATAGAAGTTTACTAAATCAAATACGTTGATATCCATTTAACATATTTCAACATAATCAATATATTATAAATTTACTAAAATTTAGATCTAGATCACAATCCGCGAACTCTGCAATATACCATAATCTGTCAACAAATCACGCATAATAACCATAAAAAAAAAAAAAAAAAAAAAAAAAAAAAAAAAAAAAAGAGCTAAGAATCTGCAGTAAAAGAGGAAGAAGCGGCAAATGAAGAGGTAGTTAGTTGGTAACAAAAAATGGATTGACTTCTTGCTCTTCCTCATCGAAAGGGTTGAGATCGGCTGGCTAATTTATGATGTAATTAAAACCTTCAAATTCGCCAAAAAAAAATCCTCAAAAAAAACTCTCTAGAAAAACTAATTAATTCGAAAATAAATCAGTTTTGAAAGAACACTAGAGTAATTCATCAAAATTCAAATGATTCAAAGATTCAAAATGAAAAGGGAAAAATTACTGTAGACTTGTAGCGTGAAGAAAAAGATGTGAACTGTTGTCTACTTGTCTGGTATGAGATTGAAAGCCAACAAAAATACGTATAAAATTTACTCTAAAAGCTTGATTGAAGGGGACAAAACATTGAGTCACCGTGATTTACATCCTCCCAAATACTTTGTCGGCCTGGGGTGTGGGGGGCCCATAGAGTTGGGGATTCAATCTTTTGGGAGAAGGGGACAAAACATTTTGATGAGAGGGAAAAGTTCTACACTTTCCACTTTCCTAAGTGGCATTATAATATTAAAAAAAAATTGCGAGGGGGGGCCAAGGCCCCCCTGCACTCTCTATGTGCCTCCGTCCCTGCCTTTGGGGGGAGGGGGTGGTGTTGGGTCGTCTCGCATATGTTGGACGTCCGTGGTGTACGTGGCTGGTGGAAAGGAGATAGTCTGGATCATCGTACACATGGACGACATCAACAGGTTGGAGTGCAGTATAAAAGGAGGGGTGTTTGCTTTCTCAGGTCTATCAGTGTCTAAGCATGACAAATCTATGGATTGGTGGTATTCTGTTTTCTCCTTCAACCTGTTTACCTAGGTTCGACTCTTACTGACTACATTATCATTTTAGTCCATACCATGGGCTATAGCCTGCATTATTTATGTATTATTTCGCCGTCATTTTGGGCCAGTATTTCGGGATTTGTACGCATACACTTTGTGCCTAGCGCTCCAGGTAATAAAGTTATTACTTTCCTACCCCGTTCTGTACTTTCATATACTCGGTTTATGGTGGACCCGGTCATGACAAAATCATCAAAAAATATAGCATTTTCTTCAGAAATATTACATTTTCTCTCATAAGTAACAATAAATGAATTTATCCTTATTAGGATTACATTTTTTTTCTTATAAGTAATTGTTCAACACTTACATGTTCAACCTTTAAATATTACATTTTGATTTAAAAGTAGTGCATTTTTCCTCTAAAAGTATTACTTTTCCTTATAAATAACAAACAATTTATTTCTAATTAGTATTACATTTTTACATTTCTATATATATATCTCGACTCAACTCATCTCACGCATAAGAATTTGTGAAACGGTCCCATAGATGACTCACACTTCAGTTTTACACTTCAATTGCACTGAAACA